CTCTAGGAAGCTAGACACACATTAGTTTCACAACTTAAATATGTTTGTAGCCACTGAAAGTCATTCGAAGACGATGATAAACATTTTCCTTTCCTAAAGCCAAAAAAAGAGGATAACTCAGGTCAATAAAGGCCATCTTGAGCTATGATTTTTATTACTTAATAATTAAATTCCATATTTGTTTCGCTATGTTTTTCCTTTTCATTTTAAAGCATTTTTAAAAATGAAACCCTTAATTCTGCTAACCATCTGCCACAGTAACACGTCCTTGTCTGATGTATGTTTATTAGCACCAGGAAATGCAAAGAATTCCTTTGTGTCCCTGGTTCCCAAACTTATGTCTAATAATCTGATCACTGAAACAAATAGAAACAAAACTTTCCCAGGTGAGTTATCGGTGCAAAATATGAACAATATCAAAAAGATTTCAAGTTACACAACAATAATAATGTGAACATTTAGCAAGTGAAACACTCAAAACTTTACTGTTATGTTTGCCAAAAAAGACATATTCTTTGAGCTGCTTCGCCATAGCAGATTCACTCAAGGCTTGTTGGCAGTTTGGTGTTTAGAGGTTCCCAACATGTAAACTATATTTTAATGAGCAATGATTTCTCAGAAGTTATGTGGAAAAAAGAATTAGGGACTTTATGTTAGTTGAAACTTACAATACATCCTCATACGTAAACGACAAAGCAGCTATATTGCCAGTAAGACCCAAAACACTCATGAATGTTATATATTTTAGCAATGCTAACGACACTAGTAAGAAGACTAAACGTAGTATGGATGGTAATGGATGCTAAACTGCATTTGGTGGTTAAAGATGTGATGGTAGAAGGAAAATGTCTTCCGTCTGCAAAAAGCTTCTCATCTGTTGTATTTGCTAGCACAGTCACAAGCCCTGCTGGTATCATCACGAGTGCGTCTGAACAGTTTGGACATGTTACATGTACTCACTAACACGTCTGTAGGAGACCCCCTGAGTAAACCCTCTGCGTTGTGCTGTTAGTGTGTCAGTGCAGATAGGGCTCATGTAGAGTTTGGGTCAGTTTTCATGTCTTGTGACTAAATTGAGGCAATATTTTGCTGCTGCTGTACGTTTGCTTTGACTACAAAGGAGTTCACAAGGCCGGTGTGTGTTCTGTCTATTAAATGGGAGCATGCAAGTCATTGAAATTATCGCTGGTATTGTTACTGATTGCAGAAAGTTGTTGATTTTGGCTTGAATAGTGGTAGGTAGGTAGGGCTGGGCGATATGACCCAAAATTCATATCTCGATATTTTTTACCTGGACGGCGATATAAGATATATATCTCGATAT